TGGCACCCGTGAGAGCGTCATGAGACCGCCGATTGGGTCACTCACCTGTCACACATGATGCGAACATCGTCCACCGGTAGTTTTGGAGGCTGCCTGCAGACGCTGCACCGGTCGTCGTCCAGCTCCGAAACGGGAGGAGCCTGTTCCGGAGGGGGTTTGGGGTGGGCGGTGATCCAGCAAGCTTTGTCATTGTCAACGGAGTTAACGCGTGAACACAAGAATGGGGGTACTGTAATGAGAGCTGTAAGCTCTCGTGAAGCTGAAGAAGGGAATCACAACACCACCACCACCACCACCACCACCACCACCACCACATCCGTCACCTCTCATCAAGCTACCGCGAGGTTACAACTAGGGGAATCACCAACAACAACATATTTGTCACCTCTCGCGATGCTACCGTGAGGTCGGAAGGAGAGAAAATCATAACACCACCACCGCCACCACCACCAACACAACAACAACAACAACAACAACAACAACAACAACAACGACAACAACACACAGCCCTCACCTTCGGGTCCAAAACCCAGTCCAGCAGCAGCCGCTCGAACACGGCGGACAGCTTGCGCCCCGCCAGCCACGGTGACGTCAGCGGCGGGTTGTAACCCGCCGCGTTCAGAAACACGTGCCGGATACCGGCAGCGAACTCGCGGACCGCCTGCTTGAAAGAGAGCGGTGACGAGGACACACTACCACCACCACTACCACTACTACTACTACTACTGCCGTGCTTTCTCCTAGCGGCGGCCCGAAGTCTCCGCGCCACTTGGGCGAAGGCTAAGGGCTCCGCCACCGTCTCGTAGTAGGACATGTACTTGCCCGGGTCCATGGGCTGGAGGAAGTAGACGGAGCCCGTCTGGGTGGAGAGGGCCACGAGGATCTTGAAGCACCTGGCGGCGCAAGAGATCGCAGCAAGGTGTTTATACGCGAAGGAACGGGAGCAACAAATATTAAGAGTGCGGTACTAGGAGTATAATCTCGAGCGGTTGGTATTCCTGTGATTGTTGTATGAATACTTTCAAAACATAATAATAAAAATAATAGCGTGGTGCTTCACTTCACACCGCACGCGACGCGTTCTTTGCTCGGCAACATGTACCTCGCGAACAAGCTGCTGGTGTTATTCGAAGAAAGTAAAAAGCGGCACGCAAACTGCTGCTGTGTACAATATCATCATGTCGGTCGAAACGCACAAAAAAATAAAATAAAGCAACGCTGTTAAATGCTGTTCTACGGTCGAACTCAAGCTGAGAGAAGCGCGTGAGACCAACAGAGAGGAGGGGCCTCTACAGCCTCCTCGAGGGCACTGGGAAACCCTGCCATCGCCACTTCCTTGACATGCGTGGGCCCATGTACTCCAGAACGCAGGAAAAGGTCGGCGTGGGTGTCTTATCTCAGTAAGACTTTTTTTCTGGGTGGGGGGAAGGTGACGAGCCGCCCCCCTGTGTACGTGTTTGGAAGTCACATCGAGATTCCGCATCCAAGTTCTAGCAGATTCACCTTTGCAGCACCTCTGGCGCCCCTTTCCGCAGCCCCCTGCTCATCCACTCGTCGTCTTCGTCATCGTCGTCATCATCATCGTCATCATCATCATCCTCCTCCTCCTCGTCCATGCCTCCGGCCGCCGCCGTCGCCGCCCCGACGGAAGGACTCTCTGCCGCTCCGGCGCCGTTAGTCTTGTCATCAGCTTTAGCGGTGGTGTCGTCGCTCTCGCCTCTGCTGCTACCGTCCTCGCAGACTTTGGGGCGTTTCGCAGCCGGGGATGACGGCCAGCCGTCCCCTCCCTCGTCGCCGGCGGCGCCATCACCGGCAACCGTAGAACCAGCCGTCTCCTCTTTGCCGCAGGAAGAAACACGGGGACGCTTCCCGGCCTTCTCGTCCGCGCCGTTCGACGATAGTGGCGATAGCGATCGCGGCGATGGCGGTGGGAAAGGAGGCGAGAGCATGCCCGAGCCCTCGAGGCTGGACAGGATCGCCAGGGCGGCGGCGTGGCAGGAGGCCACGTCCACCTTCCGGAGGAGGGCCTCGTCGGCCATCATCGCGGTCCCCGCGGGGGGCGGGAACCGTTCCGGGGATCGGTCCAGGATCGCCTTGAGCGTGAAATAGTGCCTCGATTCCGCCGCCGCTGCCGCCGCCGCCGCCACCGCAGCAGAGTGCGGTTCCTGCTGGTTCTTCGACGCTGACGCCCCCCCCTGGTCCTTCATTTTTTCATTCGGCAGCGCCCCCTCTGTGGCGGCGTCGAGCAAACGCACAGCCGCCCGGAGGTTTCTCACGATAGCCGCCTTGTCCTGGGGACTGGGGAGGCGCGGGGGGGGGGGGGG